CTTTAACTGCAGCCGTAATCTTTAGACTCCTTCAATATTGACAATTATAATTTTATTTTTAGAAAAAAATATTTCATCTAACACCTTAACTTATTATGATTTCACTGCAGTCAAAGTCTTTAGATGCAATCAATGTTGACAATAATTATTTTATATTTAGATAAAATATATTAAATAAAGATATTTGATATAACACTATGCTTCAGTACATTTTATGGATGTAGAACTACAACCCTAATCTTCACTCCGTCAATATTAACAATAGTTATGATTAATTTTGTTTGGTTATTAGTTACCTAATATCTAATAATATATCATTTATATAGATAATATTTTATATATATTATCTGTATATCATATCTAATATGTTTCCTAACACCTTTATTTAATAGATTTTACAAATCTATCTATATTGACAATAAATTTGTTTTTCTTAAACAGAATGAGAATTTTAAGAGCAGCTATTGCATCCTTAGATTTGATAAAGTTGATCTATTATAATCTCTTACATTTTAATGAAAAAGATGACGTTTAAATTTTAACGGCACTTATTGTTGTTAATTGTATTTTTGGTTATCTTTTTCACCACGTAATGTATCCATTTGAGTACTTCTTTTGTTCTTCCCTGCGGTATGTCTATTTAAGTTGAGTTGAAGACTGATTGTTTTCAGTAAAAAGTAATAAAACATATTTAAAATCTAAGTACCCAAATACAGTAACTAGCTTACGACAAACACGATATTATTTAGATATATTATAAGATTTCGTTTGTAAGTGTATATACAAAATGTATTTAAATATATAATATGAAATAGTAAACTATCTATTGCAAATGAATTTTTAAAAATTAAAATTTTATGAACTATTATTGATGTGCATATAACTATTTAACTTAACTATAACTATTTGCGTGAAGGGTAGATCTTTATAAATAAGATCTGCAAAAGTTTAGTTTTGCAAAACCAATTTATTTTATTTAAAATGGTCCCATTCTGACTCAATAAAAACATGTGGATGAGTGTTTTCGATCGTACAGGCATCAAAAAAATTTTATATTTAAGGTAACAATTCCCTTCTAACTCAATATAGTGATTTGTATGGTCGAAAAGTATCTTAAATGTTCGGTCGAAATTCTTTTGGGTACAAATCTTTTGTGGATGACTGCTACATCCATAAATGCACTTTTTCAAAAAGTTAAAGGTGTGCCAAATTACGTAAATACGGATATTGGTTAACCTAACTGACAAATGTAATTGCTAATAGATGACCTCACTTTAAATATAAATTTTTAAAAGGTCCTGCCTATTTTCGAACGCACCTTTTAAATTAATTACATCAATGAGATTTTAAACAAATTAACAAACAGTGTTTTAATATTATCAATTATAAATTAAAAAATAAAATAATAGTTATACTTATTTACTTTATATAGATATACTATTCTCTATAATTCTCTTTTGTATTTTTTTCTTACTCTTCATTGGTTTTGGTTTTTAGTTGTTGTTTTTTTAATATATATCTAACTGAATCTCTTTTTTGAAATAGAAAATTTGTTGATAACTATTATCAATTTACTAAAAGAGTATAAATCACTAACATTTAACAAAAAGTGAATCATAATAAAAATTTTTTAAAGTGTATAAATGTAGAATGTTATGTATTAATCAATTACTAGAATTAAAATTTTGTGTTAATCATTCGTGTGTTATCCACAATATTTGTCCAAATTGTTGTATATTGTCATGTTTGTGCTCTGATTCCATAATGTGTGTGTTTCGTCTTTTCGATAATTTTTTTCTCAAAATAACTAATAATAAAATATATGTTCATCCTATGTACAGTTAAGAAAACAAAAAAGAAACGAATAAATTTATTAGATTAATTAACGTATAAAAATAAATAAAGTGAATTCTACTATGGAATCGAATTTAAATCGTGGCGATTCTGCACGTAAAAGCATTCGTCAATACTCACATCGAAAAGGTGTTGCACCTATTCCTCCACCGATAGGTAATGAAGCAAATAAATGTATAGGACAGACTGGAGTGGATATAAATTACATCGGTGATAGAGAAGAGTTAAATCCAAATAAAAATCAAACCGAAATGAAAACGGCGGTAGAAGACACAGCAAATAAAACTTACAAAAAGTTAAGTGATAATTCAGTTATCAGTACAGATGAGTTTCTACTGAATTCTGGTGAAGTGCAGTTGCGTCCGAAAATTGGCACTTTTAATTATGGCGAGAAAACAGTTTCAGAAATACCAAAATTTGATCATTATATATTACCTAAAAATGAAGACGCTAGTGTGTCCATAGCGTTAAGTTCAATTGAGAAACATATTAATAAAGTTGAGGAAAGTTTTAAACACTTTTCAGAATTAAAAGAACCTATAATGGAAAAGCCTAAAGGTTATGCATATAAAAAAAGTAAACGATACGGTGAAACTGAAAACTTATTACAACCAAGTGATAAGGATTTACGACATAATTTTTCACAGGATAGTTGCGATATTGAATCTGATGCACAGTCCATGGAAGAATTTGTTCGTGGAGCAGAAACGCGCAGTTCCGTAAATGCACCATCGAAAAGAAATGCATCTGATACGAAGGCAAAAATTACGCGAACAAGTTCTGATACAAAAAATGCTGAAATTTTATCAGTTTATCAAAATTTAAAACAAAAACATGAAAATAGAAATAAAAATTTTTATGAAAATAGAAATTCCTGTTCAACAGCCATAACCAACATTTCGGAAAAACGTCGTGAACAAAATTTAAAACAATTTGAAGCTTATCTTGCACAAAAACGAATGCAAAAGGCTGCTGCACAGGAAGAGAAAAATCATAAAACTGCAACACCCATAGTAACACCAAAGGAAATAAAACCTCTTCCAAAAGAACTAAAAATTACAGCACAACCCATAATACCCATGCGACCTACTACTCATCATATACCTGCGCCCCCAACAGTAATGGTCGCGAACCAAAACAAACATATCAACGATACTAAAATGCAGGTAAATTATTTTCCTCCCAATTCACAAAAAAGTATTCATAATAACTTAACTTAAATAACACGTAACGTAGTTTGTTTCAATTAATATTGAGTATGTTATATATATTAATAAAGAAATTTTTGCGTATGCAGTTTTAACGCAGTTATTTGTTTTAAATAATTATTATTTAATAATGTTTTGGGGGTGATTTTTAAGTAGTAAGTACGTTTAATTTAAAAAAAAATATACTTCAAGATTAATGATTGTTCCTTATGTAAAATATGTTCGAATTCTTATCACCTCAGTTGACTACCAAACAAAATCCTCTTTAAAAAATTCAATTCAATAAAGGGTTCAACTTAAATTTATTTTAAAAAAAATGTTATTAATTATCATATTACGTATAAATGTACTTAGAAAAACATTGAAGATATTGTCGTATGGCTTCTCTATTTGTAACCATACCAAGTAGTATATTTTTTGGAATACTTGGAAAATTTGTAATAATCTTAGAGGATGACCAAACCCAAATATGTTTAAAGATTTTAATTCGATAAAGACTACTACCAAAACTTATGTTAAAGGTTTAAGTATAAATACTCACATACCTCAACATTGATTAGGTATTTCTTATAACTTTAATTAAAAATATTGCCGTGAAGCTTGTTCCCTGTTATACTATGTATGTTAAACGTCAAATAATATACTTTATGTTGAAGATATGAAAATTTTTAATTATCTTAAGACAATTACGAAATATAACTACATATTTCAAAAATTCTATGTATATAAACTGACACTTGAAATACAAATTAAAATGTCCTTGTTTCTGTTTTCGCCATCAAAGTAAGTCGCTTTTTTTGCATATCAACATTTATTAATAAAAATTTAGATATAGCTGATATTTAAAAAGAGGTTTCAATGTAGGAAACTTCTTTATATGTTAATCAATTATTAACAAATTTTAGATTTACCAGTTTAGATTTGAATACCAGCTGATAATTCAGCTGTTACTTTCAACAAGAAAAATTTCCTCACCTATTAAGTGACGAAAACATTAGCGGTTAACCTATTAAATGCATTAATATTTAGTAAATTAAAATAATCTAAGTCTGTCAAAACAATATTTTACCGATCGGCTAAAATTTTGATATACTTATACTTCTATGTATACAAATCATATAATTTTTATCAAATGGAATTGTTTCAATGTTTCTTCTATATAAAAGCATTACCGATATAATATATATTAATTTAAAAATAAAGTAGTATGTTGTTTTGTAAACTTTAATTGTATTATCATATGTATGATTGACAATTTAAAATAAAAAATAAATCAGTTAAGTTTATTTTTTACGGATTTTTAAAACAATAGTCAAATAAACTGCAACTTGTTATTTTTTTGAAACTGGATGTTAATATTTGTATGTTCTTCATGAAAGAGTTTTTCTTTTATAATTAAACAAAAATAAGATAAAAAATAAGTTTTCACCATGTATCGTTATACTAAATTTGAAAATTTGGTAAGTATTACTTTCAAGTTTTAACCAATTTTGAAAATTCTAAGTTTTAACAAAAGTGAAAAGGCTTTTGTCAAAAACACGTTAATGTTCTAATTGTTTTAAGTTATATTTGGAGGGATTTTTACTTGTTTATAAATATATACTACTTTTATAATTCATGCTCCTAATAAAAAAATTAATTAATACTTTTATAAATCATGTCGACTAATTATTAAATATATAATAAGACTATTACATGAAATTCTAATTTTAAAATAAATAATATAATAGTTGTATTAATTAAAAAAATAGTTTTTACAGTGGTAATATAAACATATATATTTATATACTTATATTATTATATCAGTTATTATAATTATGTTATTGATTGATATAGTTTATTATAATAAATAATATTTGCAAACTATTTCCTTTCAGCACTTTAGTGAATTTTTATTTTTTTATAAGTAACTAATCTATATATTTCTTTGTTAATTAGGGTTCACCGAATATGCAAATACGTAGTAGTGCACCAATGCGTTGGCGTGCAACGGAAGAACATATTGGAAAATATAAATTAATAAAGACTATAGGAAAAGGCAATTTTGCAAAAGTAAAGCTAGCTAAACATTTGCCTACAGGCAAAGAAGTGGCTATTAAAATAATTGACAAAACTCAGTTAAATCCGGGGTCGCTACAAAAATTGTTTAGAGAAGTATGTATTTTCTGGATTATTTTATAAAACTTAATTTTAATTAAAAAAATGTTAATTTTTTATAGGTTCGTATCATGAAAATGCTCGACCATCCAAACATCGTAAAACTATTCCAAGTTATAGAAACTGAAAAGACATTATATCTTGTAATGGAATATGCATCAGGAGGTGAAGTATTTGACTATTTAGTACTACATGGACGCATGAAAGAAAAAGAGGCACGAGTGAAATTTAGACAAATTGTTTCTGCCGTACAATATTGTCACCAAAAACGTATTATACACAGGTAATATATATTTAATGCAATAATAACAGATAACAGAAAAACATTAAAAGTTACGTAATAATTTATTTTTTTGTATTTTTTAATTAGGGATTTGAAGGCTGAAAACCTTCTATTAGACAGTGAATTGAATATAAAAATAGCAGATTTTGGTTTTTCGAATGAATTTACGCCAGGAAATAAACTCGATACCTTCTGTGGTAGTCCACCATATGCAGCCCCCGAACTATTTCAAGGTAAAAAATATGATGGACCAGAAGTTGACGTGTGGTCGTTGGGTGTTATATTATATACTCTTGTTAGTGGTTCATTACCATTCGATGGTTCAACATTAAGAGAGTTGCGTGAACGAGTACTCAGAGGCAAATATAGGTAATTTCTATATATAATATAAAATAAAAAAATAAATAACTCAAAATTTTTGGTTTATTATTTTTTTTAATTGTTTTTAGAATACCTTTTTACATGTCAACTGATTGTGAAAATTTACTGCGCAAATTTCTTGTATTAAATCCGGCCAAACGTGCCAGTCTCGAAACCATAATGGGTGACAAATGGATGAATATGGGATTTGAAGAAGATGAACTCAAACCGTACGTAGAGCCTAAGCAAGATTTGGCCGATCCCAAGCGGATAGGTAAGACGGGTACTGTATACAAAAATTTTCAAATAAATATCTTTGATCTCTTTGTACTTTATTCGATTTACATAGACGAAATGTTTAAAAGAAAGTAAATATCTAGAAGAAGAATATACATAACATAAAAGCAAATGCTTCACTTTAATGTACTTTATTTATTTATTTATTTTAATAACACCATTATTAGTAGATTTTGTCATTAATTATTTATTCATTGTCAATGCATAATTATTTTCTTATAAGAAATATTTATTCATTATATGTATTAATCATACATTTTTTTGATTTAAAATATTTATTAAAACTATTAAATAAATGTATCAATAATACTGTCATGTTAAATATAATATAAATTATGTGTTTAAGTAATAAAAAATAATAATAAAAATAAAAAAGATAATAAATAATAAAAGACATTATAAATAATAATTATTAGTAATAATAATTATTAGAAAATAATATCAATTTTAACTATTATAATATAATTAATTTAAATTCATAGTAATAACAAATATAATAATTATATATATAATTAGATTATATAATAAATATAATAATTTAAATGTATATAAGACATTATTTTTATTTAATTTTTGTGATAAATTTTATTTATTTTTTACATAAATATAGATTTCGTTAAAAAAAATAAATTCATATTCCATAACTTTAACAATTTTAAATTATTAACTATAATTTTTCTAAATTCACACTTCAAAATTAATTTCTCAAATCTATGCATATTTCTGCTTATATTTGAGATTTTATTATACAAAATGTAGTATTATTACTATTAAAATAATGGTACCAAATTTTGTATATTTATATAATGTATCAATCAATTTTAAGCAAATTATCTTATTTATAATTTAAAAATCATTCCTTGTTTATTTTTTAACGGAATATGTATCTGTAATTTGATATAATTTAAGTATAATTTTTTAGTTAAAAATGCACTTCTATTTTCTATTTCATATATACGTATATACATATAAGTGTAATATATGGATATATACTATAATTTATGAATGCTTGCAATAATTAAATTTCGTGAATGCGTTGCTTTGTATTTCAAACCTTAATCAATATATTAGAAAACGTATACAGTATCTATATATCTTTTTTTTTTTGATGTATTAATGTTGTTAAAATATTTGGGTTTTTTTTTTTTTTTGACAAATCGTATTTAATATTTTAAAATATTTTTTATTTCGCTAATTATAGAGGCGCTAGTAGCCATGGGTTACAATAGGCAAGAAATCGAAACTTCGCTATCTCAAGTCCGATACGATGATGTGTTTGCCACCTACTTACTTTTAGGAAGAAAAAGCACTGATGTAAGTTAAAAAAAAAAAACAAAGATATTATAAAGATAATATTATAAGGTGATTGAATAAATTTATTTTTATCATTAGCCTGAAAGTGATGGATCTCGATCCGGCTCATCGCATTCTTTACGTAATATCACTGGAAATGATACCGGAACGAGTGGTGGAAATTCATCTGTACAAAGTCCTACACATCGTGGTGTTCACCGAAGTATATCGGCATCTAGTACTAAGCCAAGCAGACGTGCTTCTTCAGGTGCCGAAACAATACGTAAGAATAAATTTTTTTATGAATCTTCAAAAATCTCAATTAAAAGTATAAACTCAATATATAAAATTATAAACTCAATGATAAAAAAGGTGAACTATGAAAAACTTCGAACTGGAAGTAAACTATCACCTTTTGAGTTATTTAATTTATTTAATAAAACGTTTTAAGTATTAATATGTGTATAGTACAAAAAGTTTTACGCGTTTTTTATAACTAAATTGAACTAAAAATTATTGTTTATATAGTTTTTCGATCTTAATAAGGCTGAAAATAGTTTCTTATTTATGATAAGAATAATTTTATTTTTTAAATTTTCAAATGTTTATAAATTAATTTCATTTTATTTATTCATTTTAACGCACAATTATAGGATCAATATTAAAATTGTAATTATTTAAAATGTATGTATCATAAAAATGGTTTTTATTTTTTGTAGGTTCTGGCCCAAACACAGCTACAGCTCCCGGAGTAGGAGCAGTAGCCGTTGTGCCAACTAGTGTAACCAATTCAGGAACTTCGGCAGATCGTACTTCGATGTAAGAAATATATTTTTTTTACTATCTTTTAAATACAAATAAGTAATAAAAATTTAATATATTTACTTCAGAAGCAGCAACTTCAAACGTCAAAATACAATCGATTCAGCTACCATTAAAGAAAACACTGCAAGATTAGCTGCACAAAACCAAAGGCCTGCATCTGCAACACAAAAATTAATATCAGGAGATTCATGTAAGTCTTAACAATAAATGTTTTATTTCATGTATTTTATATTTGAATTATTATTTTTAGCTGTCAACAGCCCCGCGAAACCCCGTTCAGCAACTAAATACGATCCAACAAATGGAAAACATACTACAGAAAATAGCGGTATTATACCACGACGATCAACAAGGTTATATGAAAAGACTTCATCTACAGAAAAAACGAATGTTCTGCCTACAGAAGCAAAGTATGTATATTTTCTTGTTGTCTATACCTATATAATGTATGTTTAAATATTGTTACATTATATGTTTTAAAATACATTTTAGTTCTATCTATAATTTTTTTTTTTGCCAGGTGCTTTATGTTAAGGAAAAGAAAAAATTAATATATTTTAGTGTCAGATCGAAAATGATATTTGTATAATAGTTAAAATTTTAGACTCAAGACCGCAAAAAAAGAAATAGTTAAAATTAATTTCACATACAAAGAAGAGGAACTGGAAGTATTTTTATTTTATTATCAATAAATTATTTTTAATAATGCTTCAAAAAGAATTTTTTACTTTTATTACCACCAAATACATTTAAACGACTTTTACTTAAAAAAAAAATATTACGAAAAGAATCTAAATAATAACTCTTATCCGATATTTAGGCTCAAATATTTAGACTCATTGCACATTACATTTGGGTTTAATTTATAATATTTCTTCTAGAATTTTGCTATTGTAATGAAAATTAGTCCAAACTAATTTAATAATCAGATAATATTATATCCTTTAAAATAGATTTTAAGTATATTTTACTTACAAAAAACTTGTGTTATAAAATAAATATATCACAATATGTTTTTTATAATAAAAGCTACACTAAAGAATTTAATTTATGTATTTAGTTAAGTTAGTGCTTTTCGCTATAGTGTGTGCTAATCCTAATTCATACTGGCTTAATAATTCTTTCAAATTATTTTTCTATTGTTTTATGTTATTAATGAAGTACCCTATTAAATATGTTTTAAATTTTTATTAAATTAAACTAAAAGTAGTGGATCAACGGCATCCTCCGGAAAGGGGCATGTTAAAAGCGCCTCAGTTTCAAGTCCAGGCCAATCGACTGACGGAGGGGTCCTTGTTTCTCACGATCCTGTCGAAGCAAGGTATATAATTACTTCAAAATTCAAGCTAAAAAGTTTCTTGACGTTAAACGCATACATATTTTTTTATATTGTACATTGTCTCCCGCCTCTTTTAAAGCTTTTCTTGATTATTTTTTTTTTACAAATTCTTAAGTATTTTTTAACTAATTCTAAATCTTTTCATGCTGCGAAATAAATTGATTCATTCAATTTCATCTGCAATTTTTTATTTATTTCTCATAAATGATTTTACATATATTTTATATATATAAAGACAAGGTTTATGGGTTACTCGTGATTGAAATATAGTTTTAAGTAATAATTTTTACTATTTTTTCTCTTATATCTTAAGTAATCGTTCATTAGTTATAACATTTTGAAAGAATTATTGCTAAATTTAAACATTTCAATATGTAATATAAAACCATTACATAAAAACCATTTATAAGTAGGAAAAACACTTTATATGTTTTTGTCTCAATTTTTCAAAAATTAATTATTGCTTCTTTTTTTTACTTAATATAAAGGCTACAGTGTTATTTTATTACTTTTTAAATGTTATATTTTTAAAATTAATTAATTAATGATAATGATTTTTATATATTTTTAACATGGTTGTATATTATTAATATTCATATTTGATGTGAATTCATATGATTTTTATTTTTCATGAAATTATTAAATGAATAACAATAGAACACAAAGAAAATTAAATAATTAAAGTTGATAATTAAATAATTAAAATTTTTTTGAAAAGATTTAATTTTAATTAAATTAACAACTTTTATGTTTAAGAGAAAGAATATTCTTTGTATACGAGTAAAGGGGATTTGTATATAGAGGCTCAACTTCAAAAGTTACTTGAATTTTTAAGGTTTAGTTCTTGATCTGTTTCAGATGTTGCTATATAATAGCAACTTAATTAAATAAATTGTTGGTTTTATATACAGATGTTTCAATTATTGCCAAATATCAATAATAATAGACAACTTTAAAATTTTGATTGTTTGTGAAATTATTTGGTTAGATTCAGTAATAGAATAATAATCAATACCTTCATAAAATGGTTTAAAATTCATCCGATATAGTGCAGTTATTATAATTCTTGGCACAATTCTGCATATATTTTGCTTATATTATCAATAAATTTTATGTGTTTTTGCATTATATGTATTAGACCTGTAGTTTCATCTTGTTCTTAAAAATATTTATTAGTTACATTTTTTATCTGTATAGCAATCAATTCAATTTCAATTTTAAGATAAATGATTGGGCATTACCTTAATTTTTTCATTATATACTGTACATTTATGTTAAACAAAATCTCATTTAAAATTTATGTATCATATATAAATATATATATTTGCATGTGTTAATTTTTAAATTATTATAAATCATTATATTATAATTTTTCGTTTTCTTATATATTTTTTGTTCTCTTTCACCTATGTTACAATCATCTAAACAACTATAAATATGGAAAATTTTATTTACCAATTATGCAACACCCTACGAATTAACTATTGACTAAAAAAATAAAATAATCCAAACAATTTTAATCTGTTTAATGCTGCTGCGCCTCATTTAATGACAAACTTTGGACAAATGTCATTAAACCCTTTTGATGTTAATATTGGTGAGTCATAAATATATAAGGCATTTTTAAATAAGATTTATTCTCAAAGAATTATTAAATAAAATTAAATTAAATATAGTATTTATTATCGCTCGGTTTTAAAATTTGTTAGTAAGGTTAAGCTTAGTTTATTTAATAATTTTGTTAATCAATTCGGTTAACTAGTTTAAACATTTGTAATAATGTATTATTTAAATTTAGCTACACAAATTGTAATTATGATCTCATACTTTTTCCCATAAATTACAATATAAAAATCTTTAACAGTGTTTAATTAGCTATATTTCTTTTATCAACCTTGTAAATCATTGGTGCTATAAAATGATGTATGTATTAAAGTATTTATTCCTTGCACTTATAAACCAATGTATTTAATAATTAATTACATAGTTCATTAATATAATCCTTCATCCCTCAGTTGCTGTAATGTAATATATTTCTTTACCAGTTTTTAAAAATATTTGTAAATAAGCATCAGACATTATCCTATATGAAGAGAAAAATATATACGTATAACCTGTTTCACTTTTTTCATTATATGATTTGTCATTAACAAAATTTAGGTACTATTTCTAAATAATAATGACAACATAAAATAAATTTAAACATAATGGTATTCATTTACAAGGTTTTACTACATTTTAAAGCATTTACGCTTCTTTAAATAATTTCACAGCTTTCGTAAAATTCTCTCGAGTTTATAATTAGGAATATTAACCTCATACAATGGCAACACATTTGCTGTAGATCCTTTGATCTTACATTATGAGCAGTTTATATTAAATTTAATTCATCTCTTACATTACAATATGCTATTTAATATATATAAGGCAATATTTATTTGTTTTTCTTTTGACTTAAATTGAAATATAATTTTAAGTAAATTAATTATTATTATTTTATAATTTTTTTTTTTTTGTGTATTATTAGATTTATAAAAATTTAATTATTTGATTTTTCTGATAAAAAATATTAATTTGTTTATTTTTCCTATTTTTATTTCTTCTTCATTCTTCCATATTATTTGTTGATGTTCGTGATCTATCGTCATTATAACCGCAATTAAACGACAACCGCTTGCTGAATTGAATTAAATACGCTCTCAATATCGTTCTTATCGTTCTAATGCATGATGAAAACTTAAAAAATTGCTGATATATAAAACGTTTCATTCATTACACATCCACCAAACAATAATTTAATTTAATATATATTTTTCACAAATCGTTGCGCTATTTAAATTTTAACAAAACATGTGATATACGTTTTTGTGAATGTATCAATCTCATTTAACATTTAAGTTTTGTTTGGTGGATATAGAATGACTTCGGCTGTAAAATCAAGCAGGCATTTCCCAAGGAATGTACCATCAAGATCAACCTTTCACTCGGGTAAGTTTTCACAATTTATTCTATCCATGTATTTTAATTTCTAATAATTTTTAACTAGTTTTATATATTCTTAACTTGTATGTATATTTAAGACTTTATTCTCTACTATACTTAAGATATTTCGATTACTCGAAAAAAAACCTTTATTTCTGTTGTCATTTCATTTTGCATCCTTTACGTTAACATTAATTCATTATGAAATATTAGTTTATTATTATAACGAAATAAATGAGATCTTATGCAAAAAACAAATCTAATCTTATATTTAATTATGTTAGGAAACAAATTTTTTAAAGAACAAATATATAAATATTGAAAGATTAGGTTAGGCTGTGGTCTGCATATAAACTTATTAATTTCAAGAAAAGTGGCACACAATTGGTTATGCAAATTATCTATCAAAAACAAATTATAACTGTATTATTTATTTTATAACAATTAGTTATAATATGAAGACAGAAATTTTAAATAAAATTAATAGAAATACTTTCCCATTTTCCGACTATCAAGACAGATAATTTAACACATTATTATATATAACAATAAATAATGTAAAAAGCAGTAACAAATACCATTTGTTGCTGTTGAGTATTTAATTTTAAAAATTTTTTAAGCTTGCTAAATATATTTCTAAAAAAAATGTTTCTACAAAACCAACCTCTCAGACGTATACCTATAGAAAGCCAATTTATCAACCACTGACAGTTGAGTTATAATATAAACGTAAACTAGTTATCTTTTAGTTCTAAATACTGAAAGAAAATAAGATTTCAATATATATATTTTCAATAACACATCCGACAATTAAAATAAGTATTTTAGTATACGTGTGAAAAATATTAGAGCTACAATTCGAAATCCTACTTACGAACTTATAAAATTTAGTAGTTACAGATCAATGACATTTAACACCATTTCTGAGATGATTATAATAATAGTTAGAAAATAGTAGATAAGAGATAGATATGGATAAGACATTAATGAACAAAAGAAATAGATTTATAGTGTTAATTTTTTCTTGCCGATAGTGGCGTGTCTTTATGACGAAAGAAACTATTTAAAAGTTAGACGGTTTCGAATAGCAAAGAAAGAAAGGACAAAGGTAAAAATATGTTTAATTTATTGAAATTTGGCTGACCATACAACGCTGTTTCGAGTATTGCCAAGTACTCTTCATCAGTGGTCTTAGGAAATAATCGAATTTTTATTTAATTAGTTTATAGTTCGTATATAATTTAATTGGATTGCAAGTGCCAGGCTAAGAACTCGTGCCTGTCAAATTGGAAGCGATGACTAATCGTGTTTATCCACAAGTAGCCAAGGCTGCACACACTTTCAATGCTCAAGTTCCAGGTTTTGTTGTCACTTATTTTTATTTAATTAGTAACATCAACCAAAGCACTTGCCGTGCTTTAAATTAGAACAAGCTTTTAAACTACAGCTTTATTTGTAAACACAAGTTCAACGAATTGAAAGTTAATTTTTGAAGTTGCCTATTTTTTTATTTCAAAGCTATTCTTTTTTGTAGAGACATCTGTTATGCATATTTTTTACTTACTATATGTAAAGCGCCTTTTTAGGTGCAATTTTACAAAGACAGAATTTTACAAAAACATATTTTTATATTAGAAGTATGTATTGTGAGCGCAATGTTATGCCATCACTCAATGCGGCATTAAATTTAAAATAATTTTTAATTTAAAATAAAAATTTGATATTGATAGTAAATGAAAACAAAGTGGTCATGATCACTAGTTTTTCTGTACACCGTCACGTAAATCACATTAATATTGCTCGTTATCAAAATTTATGCCAAAATTAAACAAATTACTAATATGAAAAGTATTACTTTTAAAATAACTAAATAAGCAATTTAGATTTAGATTTATTTTGGATTTAGATTTGACTGATAAACGTACAAATGTCTACATAACATGGTCATAACATTAATAAGCAAACACAATGGTTTGACAATTGTCAATTTATATGGAGTACATTTTGCCATTTTAAATAAACATTAATTTACCTTATGGACTTATAGAGTCATTGGCCTAATTTGTTCAGAGATGCTGCATATAGTACGATAAAAATCCATAAGTAACGAATTTTTGTCCACTAATTAAATGGCGTTGATATACAAAAGTTTTGGCTTTAATAAGATAGTGACAACATAACACAATATATCACACTACGTACAGCACATATGTTATTGCAGAAAACATTCGATGAAGTAGTTTCCACGATCATCTGAACCGATCTTATCCGGTTTAGTTTCAATTAAAATATGTAAAGTAGTTGAATTTTAGTGAATTTCAATATTCTATACAATTTTTTCTATTCTGCTTAGTGCCGATATAATTTATTTTTTGAGATATCGTGGCTTAAAGATGCAAACTTTTTATATTGAAAACACAAACAATTGGCGCGTCGTTTTTTTGGTTTCTATATAAAAATAAAAAAATATTTATATTTTTATAGTAAAGGATATTTAAATGTCTAACTTAGGTCAGAATAAAAAAATATGCTAAACTGTTACTTACCTCAAACCTCAGTTTGTACCTTAATACAGCAATACTCCTGATGACGTCATTCGTCTGTTTAATTGTCTCGCAGAGCACTCGCATTCGAGCGTAATTCATTTGTATATCTATTCAATCAAACCTGGGTTTTTGTGATTAAACTTTTAGAATCACATTGTTAGTATTTCTATCTTCATGTTTGTCACAAATGATAATAATTTGACCAATTGCTTTTTTCCTTTCGACAGATAGTTTAACCGGTTTGTGACACAAAAACAATTTTATTATTAAAAACTATTATAATTTGATTACTTTATTAATTATATTAAGTTATATAAATGAAATTAAAACTTCTACTATTATATGTTATTATATATATTTTTTAATTTTTTGCAGTTTTCTTCAATTACTAAACTAATAAATATATATGTTTTTAATAATTTTAAATATAAATAATCCATTTAGTTATTTAAGTGATTTATTTTTTATTGTAATTTTTTTACTGTTTTCAACTGCATAAGTCACACAAAAAATTTTTTCATTATTTTAATTTTTTTAATTTTAGAATTTATATAAAAAAGTTATTCATATCTTGTTATGACTCAAGTAGAGTCAATTAATATATATATTAACTGAATATAAAAGTTAAAAATATAAAGGTTGAAAATTTTGATTCAGAACATGTGTTTGTATTTTAATTCACTTTCATTCCCGTTTAATTATTATCAGAATCTTTATGCACATTTTAAAACCCCCGAATTGAAATAAATGTATGAGGTCATAAATATTCCAATAATTTATAAATAAATAAATATTTCTGTTTTGAATTTCTTCTAAAATAATCTAAACCTTAAGAGAAACTATACCATAAAAATTACCTTTTCTAATTTTTTAACAAATTTATAAATTTTTATTAAATTATAATAATTAATAATTTTGAATATTTTGATAAAATATTTAATATTGCTATATAACTTTTTTTTTTTGCAATAGGTCAAACTAGAGCACGTAATAATGCTGCTTTAGAATATTCTGGAACTAGTGGGGCAACGGGCGATTCCCCCCATCCAGGCCGTATGAGCTTTTTCTCAAAACTTTCATCAAGATTTAGTAAACGGTATGTATACAATGTTAAAAAATTAAAGATATAATAAAAAAAAAAATTTGAGTTGTACTAAATATTAAAAAAAATTACAAGTATACTTGCCTTCTCTGTCAAATATAGCATTTTATTAAATTTCTGGCAAAACTGTGTTGCCTTCATTTCAGAACCGTTCTCTTAATATTTTTGTATAAACTTTAATATACAATTTATTATGGTATCCTTAAACATATTCCTTTGTTCGTTGTTTGATTTGCGTTAGTTCCAGGTAAAAATAACATGTTTATTTGCTTAACATATGAAATAAAAAAACCCCGTACGAAGGATCTGATTACTAAGTTCCTGCTCCGAGTGGTGACCCGTATTCGGTCGACTACACAGACGAATGGCTTTGTATCATAGGCCCGGTTCTGAACATATATATCTATGTTAATTTTTCAATTGCACGAAACAAATTTGTCTTAACTTCTATGACGTACTATAAATTTACAAATAATGTTCTATATTTAACTAAATTCTTTGAAGAAATTCTTGACACATTTACGAAAGTAATTAAGTTATATAGGGTGATTAAATCAGTGCTATATTGCTTTTAAACATCATTGCAGCTATTTTTTTCAGATTCATACAAAAATTGATAATTTGCTCAATTGAAATAGTAAAATTTATTACAAAAATAATAAATCTATTTCACGCATTACATAAAATATTAATGTTCTTAAGGTTGTACTCAAGTTATCCCAAGAACTTAAACTGAATATGTATTTCGTAGAATTTTTGCAGATTGAGCTTGAAAGCAATTTGAAACAGAATTTATTAATTATTATTACATAAATGATCTTTAGCGATGAACCTTATTGCTGCTCAACCCACATCCTGTGAAAAAACAGGCGTTTACATTTGTATGATTTATAATCTGGTTGGTTGCGACTGGGATAGATGAATTTACCAATATGCTATGCATTTTATGACACAGTTAATTTATTGAAAAAAAAGATCAAAATATATGTAGCTCTTTAATTTGATAACACTTTAGATTGGAAATATCATACTAAATGTAAATTGTCGTATTACTTAATGAAAAGTCAAAATAGCAGTTAATTAAAAACAAAATCGAAAAATAAAGTATGCTAGCTAACTGCACTAAAAACATTGTATAATTTGGATTTCATTTTTTCAACTTCCGCGGTTTTTTATAATTTACTATAGTTTCTTTTGCAACTGATTAATCATTCAAATTAATTTATGTTAACTATTAAGGAAATATAATTAATAATTGTAAGTTTATTCTATATAAACATTAAGATAAATTTGTTTCACTGTAAACACCGAAGTTTTAGTGCAATATCATGTTTATACTGTTGCGCTTAACTATCCATGGTCTCCCATTGCCTTTAAAATTAAACCAAATTTTGTAAATGCTTTTTATTTTAAAATGATATGAGAGTAAAATTTTCATACTGTCATATTTGTCATGAAGATATTTACTCAATAGGAACGTAATTACTTAACAGCAACTTATTTCATAAGGCAAATTGCTTTTTTTTTGTGTTCCATTCTCTTCTTTTGTATATAAAAATATTTCGACTTAGGACTTTAGTCAATTTCAAGAATAATTTCACTTAAAATACATAAAACTTAAAATGTTTCATTAAATTTTAAGATTAAAGTAAATATAAAGTTAATGAAAATTATGTTCCGTGTTTTTGCAAATTTAATGCGGACTTACCTAAGAAAAGGTATTATGTTTCAACCGCTTTACAACAACGAAATATGGTGAACACTCCTTACCATATTATTATATTTTAATGCTTAAATGATCTGTTAATCTGTTTCTTTTTTTTCATATTGCATTTAATACCGTTTAAATTTTTAAATTTGTAACATTTTATTCTCAAATTTCAGTAGATATAGAGAATTGTTCTATTATTATTATATTAATAGTTTTTTTAACATATTCGCTGTAGACGACTTACGAAATCTTAACTCTAAAAATAGTAGCAATTTTTTTAACAAACTTAATCGAATCGTACATATACTGGGTAATGTTATTTTTTAAATTCTTAGTAGTCAAATTTTTATCTTTCATTTTGGTTTAATAAAGGAACATAGTAAATGAGATATATGAGATAAATTTTATCTTAATTTGTAAAATGAACTCATACTCATATACAACATGTTATACAATATGATTTAATTATTATATTTTTTCGAAGCAAATTAACACTTATTATATATTATTTATTAAATTATTAGCAGTGATTACTTTAGAGTTTGTGTAGATAAGTAGATAATTTTTTTTTATTATAAATGTATTTCTGAAAATTTAATTAATTAAAATTTAATTAAAATTGTTAATATTAATACAACCAGTCAACTCTTAAAATATGTTTAACGATGTTTCCATTTTAATTGTAATCTATTTTTTTAGTGTAAGAGTCAAAGCACAAGGTGAATTGATATAAAATTGTAGATACAGTATATACAGAGATAAATGGATCATATATATAGATGTCCAAAGTAAGCATAAAATTTGTTCATGTTTTTAAAAGCTCTTTTTTACATATGTACGTTTATCATCTGGAGCGTTAGTGAGAATTTGGTTGTTTTATTTTTTTTTCCTGATTTTGACAACTCAAACTAAGCCAGCAGAGAAACTTTATTTTGTGTTTAAGAAATACAACTACAACAACAACAACAGACCATATTCTTTTACAAAAATCTATGTTGATGAAATATTCTTTTAAAAACTTTTTATGATTGGGCAGTTTCAAGCACAAAACTTTTATACTGCTTTTAACATCTATTATGGTTTAGTAATCTCTGATATATATTTATATCAACATAAAGATTCTCTAAAGTGTCCTTAAAATGAGAAAAGTTTTTTTTTACTTTTACATTATTCGAATTTTACTTAAGAATTGATACTCGTACGCTTTTAAAAAATCATAATATATCTAATTATGTGCTTTATCTTTGTGTTTATGTTTTTATATTCTCATCTTTAATAAAGTTTTTTTTATTAGTTTTTCTATAAATTGTGTAAATTTGGCAAAGGTTAAAAATTTATGTAGCTAAAATGATTGATATGGAAATAGTTTAATTTTTGACTCGTTGTCAGTCTTTCATCTCTATAAAACCTTAGCCAGAATTCACTCCTTGACCTTATTGAGCAAAAACCGAACAACAAATAATTTGTCTTGTTGCTTGCCGATTCGTTCTTCTTCAGATAATCTAAGATCGACAGAGATAATAATTGAAATTTTTTTTTTTCGAATAAAATGCTTAGCCCAACGCTTTTCTGACTGCAATAATTACACAATTAACTAAATTAACCTATATATAGTTAAGAATTTGCATTATATACTTTTATGTGTAGATATGTTATATTGTTTTATACTGCATGTAAATGCTAACAGAATTTTTTATGTTTGCCAAATTATTATTCAATAAAATTTTAATTAAAAATTAAATATTAACTCTAGTTTATAAGTTAACAAAACGAAAGTTAAAACATTACACAATGATTATGTTAATAATTTAATTTTTATATAGCCAAAAATACAAAATGTATCCAAGTGTAAAAATTACTTCCAAAATAAAATGGTCACTAGCGAAAAAAATATGAGAATATAAAAACGATTATTTACACAAAGATTTAGGGTATATCAAAATATAAATTTTTTTATTTAATACTTTTTTTGTTATAATTTTTTGTTTTTGTTTTTAAAGTCTTTTCTCTCCTTCTACGTTTAGGATTGTATTAGGCATATTTGTTATTTAATATATAATTTTCTCTTTCTATTAATTTTTTTTTTACAAATTTATTTTCCATTATTTTTAATCAGGGTGTAATAATTAATATTTCAAAAAGTAAAAAATGTGTTTTATACAATTATTTTTTTTTCTTTAATTTTAGGCCAAACCAGTAAATAAAACTTAAATGTTACCAATTAACGATTGCAATAAAGTTATATATCGAAAAGAAAGAGTAGATCGTGAATAAAGGAAAGAAAACTAACCGCTGCGATGTTTAAAATAAGAGAATGAGAGAATGAAAAATCACAAAACACTACTATCATATAAGACATTAAAATTAAAATAAACTGATTTCTGTAATATACATTTTAATATATTTTTGTATTTTTCTTTTATGACATACTCTAGAAATGTGGGTATTTTCAATTTTCGTTTTTATATAAAAGAATGCATTGTGACCATTTTATTTATGCAGTAATATTAAACATTTGTTTGTGAATAGAGCTTATACATATATATATATATTTATATATATATAATTTTAATATTATTTCATAATATATAAAAAATGGCAAATAATATTGTATTGTATACATGTAATAATTTTATATATATACATGTATATAAATATAAATATATATATGTATATATTTATTATTATGTACGGAAATGTACCTCTATGACGTACTACTTAGTATTAAATTTTTTTTATTTTTAGAAATATACTTTTATATATTTTTAAAGTATAATTATTATTTGCGACAAATATGGAATTTCTGTTCTCCCTTATATATTATATTAACATATTGTGTAAAATATATATTATATAATAAATGTGTAAATGTTATAAGTATTATATGTGCATTATATATTGCTTATATTATATATAATATTTATTATGAAAAAAAATATATATTATTATTTTCTTGTGATTAAGTTTCCGTTTAAAAGAATATTTCTGTTTCTTTAGAGACTAACCTAATTTATATATAAATATATATACATATATATATACATATATTTCGAATTGTATATTATTCCATTAAACAGTCTGATTAATGCAAAAAGAAAAAAATAAAATAAATGAAATTTATTGTTATTCAATAGTAGAATTAAGTGAAAAATGTGAAACTGTTAGTGAAATATTGTATTTAAGTGTTTTGTGATTTTGTATCGAAATGACTTAATTTCTGATATTTAAGGTTACAACGTAAAAGTAGAGAACAAGTTTTGTTGGAAAAGATCCTATTATACGTATTGTGCCCCTAGCAGTGAGCCAATTATAAGATGTCATTTATATCATGATATTTGATACGACAACTACACAGCACAAGCGAGATTTATTTTATTGTTAGTCTTATTTTTTAAAATCATTGTTTCGCTATATAAAAAAATTATAATAAAGTTTTAAAAAAATTCAAAAATAATAACTAACTTATTTCTAATAAATTTTATAGTTTTGGAAAAATTAACTGCATGTAGTTTAGTTATTAAACTGTATTTTATTTTCAATTTTTTATTTTAAAACTCTTAATATAAATTGAATGAAAAATTATTTTCTAAATAGTTTTATAGCTTATTATAGTTATACATTTAATTTCAACAAAATCGTTAAATTTATATATATTAATTTTTCTCTTATTTAATTACTTCTTAGTAGCAAGTAGTTACTTCTCAGTAAAATAAATATATTTTAATTATAGTTTTTTCTTAGTAGAATAAAATTATGTTTTATTCAGTGATTAAAAATGTTCGAGTACCTTAAAATGGATCAACCACTTCAGATATTTAAAGATCTATCGGAGTACATAAAAATGTTCCGGCTATTTAGATATGTTCGGGCTATTTGAAGATGTTCGAGGCATTCAAAGAAGTTCAAGTTACTTCATATTTCATAATTTTCCGGCAACGCTCGAACAAAATATGATTATATGATTACGAATATTTTTCAGCTGCTCCTTGTACTTGAACATCCAAACGCATGAAATCAAACAGCTTAAATAATATTTGAAACACTAGCCCTATTAGAAAACTAATCTTAAGCTTTATAATAGAATTAACATTTTATTTATAGCGGCAGATCTAAGAAACTTAAAAAGTAAACGTATATTAAGTTCATTTTTGTATATGTATGTTGTGTTTAATTTATCATTTAAAGTGTCATATACCATAATAAACTATAATATTATAGATAGTAGATTTTACATTTTATTTGTAGATGAAAATAAAATTCATTTATATATGTAAGTTGTTTTATTTCTCTATCACTCATATATAAAAAAATATTTAAACAAAATTTTTGTTGTTTCGTTTTGTTGCTATTATTAAAACTTGAATGTCCTTCAGAAACCTATTCATATCTTTCTATATTTTACTTCACTGTTAAGTACTTCGTACGGTTTTTTTTGTTAGTCTGAGCTATCTACATACAAAAGCTATGCTATCTTTTATTCATCGGTTTTTTAGTTTATATAATCTAAAACTAAACTTAACATAATTAAAATAGATTTTAAAAGAACTGAGTACCAAGTATATTTGAATATTTTATTTAAAAAAAAACATATTTTAGAAATGCATACATAGATATATATATAAATTTTAATCAATTGATCGAAATAAGATCTTTTCATGATAGTGGCTCTACAACGGAAGATACGGCTAAACCACGTGTATTACGTTTTACTTGGTCGATGAAAACAACATCACCTCTTATGCCCGATCAAATTATGCAAAAAATACGTGAGGTTTTGGATCAAAACAATTGCGATTATGAACAAAGAGAACGGTATGATTGTCTTTTATTCTACTTTTTTTTTATTTGCTTATAAATGTTTTTAATAAATATTGATTTTAATAGGTTTGTACTTTGGTGTGTTCATGGAGATCCTAACACAGATTCTTTAGTACAGTGGGAAATTGAAGTATGTAAACTACCGCGTTTATCACTTAATGGAGTACGATTTAAACGAATTTCAGGTAATTTTTTTATATGATCTTGTGTATCGCTACTGCAGATATATTGTAGAACAGTATGGTACTGCAAGTTTTATTTAAATTTATTTTTAAACGAAAACGTATACACTTAGAATTCAAGGTTGCCTCATTTTTTCTCAATTTTTTAATTCCCAAGAACATTGTGTCTTAAGAAACGGTATAGTGTTCATCCTGAAATAAAAGTCGTCTTTACAGACTATTATTAACCGTTTGCTGCTTCCAATATAGTTGTTCTTATATTTACTTGCTTTTTATATTGCAATGAATTACAACAACTAAAATGGAAACTGTCTAACGAGTTTGCAGGTCAACTATATAAGATTATTTTCAGTAACGACTTTTTTTGAGAAAGGAAAAGGCAAATACTACCTACTCTATGACTGCCCGTCACTCTTCAAAAAGTATATAGCTGCGCTTATTTAAATCTAAAAAGTGCTTAAAGCTTCATGACATATAATAAAACATTCGTTACATAAGATAAAACATATTTTTAGTATACCACAACATAGACATAGTTTATTTGTGTAACAAACTACATAACAATCCCCTATATATATTAGTACACAATAAATTATTCAAATATGTCGAGTTATAATACGCTTTTATTTAACTCTACATATTCTTTTTGGAATATTTATTGTGATCATTTTGTAATTATATCTATCAAATAACTAACTCATAACAATCTTTCTATAAACCATCGTTCCGAAACAGTACAAATGGCTTTCAAATCAGTCGAACCGAATTAAATATCCACATGTTGTTTTTTGTTGTTGTGGGTATAACATCGACCTGCATTAATTGATCTTATTAGTAAAGATGAATGCTACATGTTCGTCTGAAGTTACGAGTGGCAGCGAAACTAGAGGTGACCGCTCTTGGAACTCAGGAAATAGAATTCACATACTGTAAAGAATTATATAGTATACGTAAATCCCTTCAAATTGCATTTATTGATCTTCTCTTCGTATTATAAAATCATAGATTATTACCGTAACGAATACAACATTAGTTATGTTCGAATACAGGTAAGAGCATATTAGTGTTTATATCGATAACCCTGCAAGGATCTGCTAGCTGAGTTCCTTTTTTGAGTACATCTGTTTTCTTATCTAAATGCATATGCAATACGAGTTACCATAACTTTTGACCATTTAACAAGATATTAATAGCTCATCATAAAAATGTTAAGCAATAATTTTTTTATCTTATCCAATATTTTATCAATCAATTTATTTGCGAACAAATATTTAAATAATTTAATATATATTTACAGGTACCAGCATAGGATTTAAAAATATTGCTTCGCGTATAGCATTTGATCTTAGACTGTGACTTCATCCTTACAAATGCAACAGTTCCGCCGATACCTTAAAGAACAACAACGAGGTCAGTAGATATAAAAATTTGGAACCTGCGTCAACTATCTCCACTGCCGACACGACCACCGATATCAATGCGAATAAAAAGCCGATTGGCTTATGTTAAATTTTTTCTCGAATACGTAGCATCAATTTGGTGAAAGGCAGTTACATTAGATTTACACATTCTTAAAAAAAAAAAATTTAAAAATAAAGTATCAAAAATAAGAGCTTGTACTAAAGCGGAAAAAATTTTATTATCGAACAAATAAAAAATATAACAAAGGCGGAATAAAAAATAATAATTATAATTCTGTTATTTTCAATTATTACGAACCCAAAATAATACTGTCTACTTCAATTAATAAAATTTTTATTTCAATTATAGAAAAACACAAAATAAAATATTTTTGCTTTTAACAAAATTGAAATTAATTTTTTCAAATAGTTAAAATAAACAAAAAAATATAAAAAGATAAATAATACATAAAAATTACTAATATAAATGCAAAATAAAAAAAATCGTACAAAATATATGTATTCCCTATATATTAATGTATGCAGATACATATTTATGAATTAAAAAAAAAATTGAAAAATTAATAATTATTAATATAAATTAATCAGTTTTAATAAGTGTAATAAAATGTTGATAATTTATATAAGCATGCAACAATGATATTTATACTTTAAAGCAAACTAAAATTATGTTTTAATATAAAATTTATTATAATTTGATCACTTTGGAAAATAGCACTTATAGAGAAATAATATGGTAGAGAGGTTATAATAATATGATAAAATATAAACAGAAGTAAATAATATATATTAAATTCGAAGAACGAATTTTATAAAAATTACAAATAAAATAACAGATGTATAAAAAAATAATATACAAATAAATATTAAATATATAATCAATAACAAAAAATATTTTAACATAATATATATAAATTAAAATAAGTTATTATCCTATTTATAATAATAAATGAAATATAAAATAACACGAATAATAAATAAATAATAATAATAATATCATTATAATTAATTTATATTTAATAAAATAAAATAATAAAGTCAGTACAATTAATTAATATTAATATATAAACTAAATTAATTAAATATTAAAGTATCAAAATAACTAATTTATGTTGAATAAAAAATGAAATAATAATAGAATAAATATAAATAATTAATAAATATTTAAAAAAATTCAACACAATAAATTAATGTTAAATTAATGATATAATAAAAAAAGTACATAATATGATCAATAAAATTAATTTGTATTTGAAAAAAATTAAAAATAATAAGATCAGTACAACAAATTTATATTAAAAAAATGTAACTTTAACAAAACATAAAAAATGTGCATTAGAACCATAGCTTCAGTGGCGACAAAACAATTAATTAATTATTTAATTTGAAAATTGGAAAAGATATTACTATTATAAGTATATATAATGAATGAAAAGAGAAAATTTACTGTTGCGCACAACAACGCTTTAAACTGTTAATATATTTGAATTAATAATAATATTTGAAGTTTTTAATTTATGACTTTAAATTCTTATTAAATAGTTTTTTCAATATTATTTAAAAATGCTACATATTTTATAGTATTTAAATCTCATTACTCATGATAAGAAAACAATAAATAAAAGTAAAACAAGATGTAAAATGAAGTATACACAATTTTAAAATAAATGTCATATGTCTCAAATGAATAACAAAAACAAAAAAAAAAAGAAAAAAACGTTAAATTTTGAACAAAATACATTAAAATTTTTATCATATAACATATAACATATAAAAATTAAGAAATTAATAAGTTCATACACACATAATATTTGCTTAAAAATTTTTCAAAAAATCATTTATAAAAAAGAGAAATCTATATATTACATATAAATAAAGTAATTCAATACATACTCACACCACTTAACCATACATTATTTCATACTTAATACAATATTGAAACACAGCAAGCATTGTTAAAGAACCATTAGTATAATCATTTGAATATAAAATCGACAACGTATCGTAATAAAAATATATATAAAAAATATAAACAAAAACATTTTTTTTTTAATATTCCAGCAGAAAATATATTTATAGAGTTTATTAACTAATATTAAAAAATATAGAGCACACAGAGAGTACTCAGGGATCAAACCCATCTTTAACGCAATGAATTTTGTAAGAACACAAACTATATTTTATAACATTTATATAAAAAAAAACTTCAAAGGTTTTAATTATTTTTTTAACATAGCCATTGATGGGCACTAACACATGAGCCACAACCATAACAAAAGTCATTATAGAGCAGTCCCAGACTCATAGTATAAGTTCCTAGTACGCAGTAACCCATCAGCAACGCTACCATAATGCTGAGCAGTTTCCGTTTTAGTTGAAGTAGCTGAATGGTATATCAATAAAGTTTATCCATTCCATGCAAAAAAAATTGGGAGCAATAACCCAAAATTATGTAATGAACTTGTACGTTTGTAATTAGACCAATTTAATTGTTTGGTTCTCTCGTGTGGTTTGTTATTAGACCGATTTAATTCTTTGGTTCTTTCGTGTGGTAATACGTACTAGACAAAAATATTCATTTTAAATCCAGATTACTGTTTTTATAATGGGTGTCAATGGATGAGGTAATGCGTACTAGACAACAATATTCATTTTAAATCCAGATCACTGTTTTTATAGTGGGTGTCATAAGAACTACTCCATTAAAAATGAATTTATATAATTTGTACTTTTGTCCGGTTAACTACTTTGCCTTCTTAACTGCTATCATGTTACCTGACACGACCAACAAGGCAAAAGCTCAATTTCAAGAAAAGATACAAAACTCTAATCGTAACTGGATAAGTATAGAATTGTATACTGTTCAACAACAACGATTTAGCCTACATTTATATAGTCGGCTCTTAAATTGAAAATAAATAAGGTGATATATTTTCGGGTACACCAAAGAAATTGATTAGCTTCTAACTGTTTTCCACTAGAAATTGTAGTGAATTGTAACCTAACTTTATGTAAGACTATCCACAAGGTGGTTTAAATACTCGTATTTAAGTGTAATACGATAGGTGTATTAGATGTATATTGATATCTTTATTTTCATACATTTGTTAATTACTATTGAGAATTATTGATTTATTATTAAAAACAGATGGTTATTCAGAGGTAACGATGATTCTGGACATAACATTATATGCAATTTAACTTTTAATATATATATCCAGTAAACTATCACTCTATAATAATTAAGTTTATTTATTTGTTATATGTTTACGATAAAGAGTGCACGATCTTAGGTGCTATTTTTTTAATAAAATAGTTGAGCATGATAATATATGTGTCTTCAGCTTTGCCTAATATTTAATACTCTTCATAAAGATGGTAGCGTTGCGAATCAATTATCTACTCTTTACTTTCCAATTTCCAAGTCAAGAATTTTTCATTTTCAGATTTAAATTTTATTTTTATGTGTTTAAATACATGTTTCAGGTTATACCGGTGATCCTAAGCATCAACGTAGGTATATTCGCCAATTATGTTACCATATGAAATTCGAAAGGTTTCTTCAAAACGTAAATTTCTATCATAGATGAACAAAGACAAAGCAGATATTAGCATTTTTGAGTCTTCTTCACAGCTGCAGCAAAAATCATTAGAGGAAATATTCTATATGCTGGTATGATTTCTTAACCATATATATATAATGAACATAAAGTAGAACTAAATGAATATCTTTAGAAAGATATTTAAAGTTTGCAGAAATGTATCTGGTTAGAATCATTTCTGTTAGATAAAAGAAAAAGTCCTTACCTTTTAAATACGTTCGAGACAGAAAAGTTTTCGAGGTGTTTTTGACTGAATAATCAAGGTTGTTTTCGTTTTTTTTATAATTTCATTTAGCTTTACAAAAAGACCCGATTACAAGTCAAGTTGGACTTACAAATCAAACAGGAATAAGATGGAAAAACTAAGCTACACCTATGGTAGATTGCACTATGGTTTGCGTGCATGTTGGGATAGCAAAATAGAAGATGAACTACATTCATCATAGTGGTAAAGCTACAGTTGGGGAACTTTGGGAATTAACGCAAGTTTGATTCACAAGTAACTGTTCACCAACATGACTATATTCGAATCTCAATTAAGCTAAGACAGTTCTTGACGCACGGGAAAGACGTCGTTAATCATGACAAATGTTAGGCGGGGCCTATCCAAAAACTTTGTTGCAATGCAAACGTGGTCACAATACATTTGTGTGGAGGATGTACATCCAGGTTTTTATTTAATCTAACTGATGTTAGCTCCATTGCAAAAAGTGTCGATATATCCAGGATATGAAGAAAGATGTCGACGAATGCATCTTGTAGGAAAACCTTTACATTGGTTTAGGTTAATAAAGTCGGTCATAAACAACATGTAGAAGAAAAATTTATAGTGAATCGTAAAAATTGTTTAACGAATTACGACATACACGTCGTATCAGAAAATTGAATATCAGAAAATTGTTGTAGATTGACTAATTTCTTAAGCTTGTAATTATGCCAATAATAACAATAACTAAACTTTATGGGCGTCTCGATTACGATCGAAATTAATTAAATATGTAATTGAATTTTAAGTGAAGTGAAAAACTTTGCTCCTAGGTGCATAGAAACCCTATAATATATAAAATGTTACACTTTTGGGAACCCTATGAATTGCGTGGGTAGGGACGAACCACTCTGTATAAAAGTATTGTGTCCCCTGATTTTTTATATTATACAGTAAAGATCGATTATTCGCCATATTGTGTGTAGTTTTGTTCCTACGAATAGAAAGGAGAATAAAAACTTTTTCTGAAATATAACTTAGAAATACACGTATTAGTGATCAACTAATATGTTCATATATATAGTATGTATATACTAAATTTTTTAATACGTGTAGTACGTATTAAAAAAACTCGTTTCAAACATCTTTTTTTCTGCAATGCTTTTGCACAAAAACTTAACACAAGAATATGCCAAATGAAACTGAAAGTTGTGCAATGCGTAGCGCATTCCATTCAAGGGCTCTATTCATTTTTTTTTTTGATTTCTTTAAAAATTTGCATGACTGTTCAAAGAAAAATTAATTTTTTTCACTACAAGTAACATTGAATAAGTAGATGTAAATCGAAAAACAAAACAAATCTTATTTGTCGATTTATTTATTTTATATATTTATGCCTATATATAGTATATTTGAATTTTTTTAAATGCTATTCTTAAATATGAACATTTTTCATAAAATAGTTTTAGTTAAATTTTGTTATATTTTTTCCTCTATAGAAAATAAGAAAAAGGTCAATATTTTGTGGTCTTATAAAGCTAAAGCATTTTGTTTCTATTAGTCATGACGTTAATCTTTAAAATGTGAAAAAAACTGCTTTTAATTCTTACCAAATCTTACGGAGCAGAATTAATACATACGTACGTGCAGACGGCACACATTCAGACATAAAAAAATTAAATAAAATACTTTTGTCAATAATTCAACTAAGCCAAAGCTTTTTCCATGGATGCTTTCGGTGTGCATACTTGAAACGATTATGTATGTATTTGCTATGTTGAAATTCTCTGATTGCTTTATGCGATCGCTTAGTTAAGAAAAGAGAGCAGTAAATGGAGTAAAACTGTTTGATGTGAGGAAGTGAAAGGGATAGTAACTGTAACACTTGAGTATCAGAAAAGTATTGTATATTATCATTTATATATAAATTTTTAGTGCAATGTATTTGTTGTTAGATCACAGTGTTGCCATCACTATACATATGAACAGACTACACAAAACTTGAAATGAGCTTTTAATAAGAATGAAATACAATTCATACTAATGGATTTATGAAATTGATCAAGAATTAATAAATAAAAGTAACATAACATAATATAATTATATAAACACACATATAACGTCGTAAAGAAATTGTTTTTCAATATCTTCATAAAATAACCTTTCCAATACATGCATACATAAAATTGCAATTATTTAAAGTTTATTTAAGTAAGTTATTTTCTATCTAACAAAGGCTAATAGAAGCGGATAAATAAAAACGTAAAATAGTTTAAAAAAACACTACGCTTATGAACAAAAACAAACTCCAAGTATTAAGTATCATTTGCCTCCAAAATATCTTGAATATAAATAACACATAACTTAATAATAAAATAAAACAATACAAAATTCCACTTTGGGAGGGGTACAAAAGTTAGCTTACACAAATATAGAAACACTTTAATTTTACTTAATTAAAAGAAGAAGTAGTACTACTACAATTCAATCACAAATAAAGCTTACCATAAACCTAATCGTACACATCTGGTGGTTTCAGAAAATATTTAAAACTGTTAGGTGGATTCTGTGGAACTACTTAATTTAGAGCAGTAGATGTACGAAACTGTTTGCGGCACTCCGATGCATCACCCATTATTTGTAAGAAACCAATAATGTGCGATTTTCAGATATACTGACCATTCATATATCAATATCGTTCTTTACTCACATAAAAGTGATTTAATTTGATATAAATTAGTTCTACTAGAAACTCAGAAATTCATTATATAATCAACATTATTTTATTCTATTCTTTATTAATTAATATATGTACATTAAAACAAGGTCAAAATGTTAAGGAAAACTATCGTGTATTCAATTAATAAGTATTACAGTGGGCTTATGTCCGTCAATCTCAAGATCGATCTGAAGGCGTAAACTGTTAAGCACTACTATAACGGTGCTGACGATTCACTGCGTACTACGAACATATACTATGAGACTGGGTCTATCCTATAATAACTTTTGTCGCGGTTGTGTCCATCATTGGCAAGGAGAACATTTAAAATCTTTGGAGCCCATTTTCTTATCGACCTGTCCTTCTGTAAAATTAGAAACTTGGCGAAGTTTATAGACTTGGCGGGTTGGTTCAGTTTCACTTGAATGAGTGAGTCAGCATTGTTCGTACGCTAACCTCTTGTCTGTTTATAAAGAACTCGGACTTTGGACACAATTCCTACACTTAAACCTAATCTAAGTCCTTTAAACACTATTTTGTAAAAGATAAAAATACTAATTTGATATAAATAAGTAGTCGAAATCTGTATTGTCAAAGCTTTTACAATCCACATAAAATCATATATAATATTTTTGCAACTTACGATAAGTATTTTTTTTAAAATGTATGTAATGTGATTTGTTTTTGTTGGTGATTGTCAGTACAGAGCTCTTTTAGGATTAAATGATAGTCTAATGGAGAATACTTTTACTTCCAGTTCAAGGCACTTTCTGTATTTAGCTCCCTAAAACGACCTCACTCATTCCAGCTATCCATTCAATATACACGAACGGATTTTCCATCATATAGCATAGCATTTACATCGATTTCATCTCATTTATAGTTGTTTTTAAAACTAACACATTCCATTTGCGGTACTTGCTTGTTTTCGGCTTCGAACATTTCACATAACAGCTAAATGTTTGGAAATTAATTCTGATCGTGTTACCTGCAAGTCCTATTTGAATAGTAGTAGATACTAGATCTATAATCACTATTGTACTAAATTAACGACTATTTATATTTAACCTGCGAAAGAAACATGGGTTTAACGTTTTTAGTATCCATTAGTTGGTGTAACTGCAGGTGGTAGGGTTGAGGTAACTGCCTTTTTTGGTCCGCTGTAATTCTTTTTGGCACACCATACTGTGTGCCAAATTCATCCATAATCCATTATAATCACAACAGTCACACACTATCATTGCCTTTCAACCTTCGTGAGCTTAATTCCGTAATACTTTAAACATTTGCTTACGGAAGGGTTTTCTTCCAGATATATCACAATATTTAAATATCCTCTTCTACTAGGTTCACCATACTCATGCGTTATATTAGTACTGAATAAATTTGCATACAGTTAGAAGCTTGCAGGATATGAAACCTAGTGGTTGCATCTTCCTATTTATTATATTTTGTAGAACTGCTTCCACTGGGATATTGCTCGAGTCAACGTTTACCACCAGTTTTGTATTCGTAGTTGGGTGCATTAACATTGCGGCATTAATTAGATCTTTCATACTGTTCAAATGTTTCTTTGGTTTAACTTAAGTATATTCCGCTATCACGCTGTCTTTTTACTTTTATCTATCATTTCAGATTTTTATTTTTGTTAATAATTGTCATCTCAGTCCCGTGTTTTTTAGCTGATTAAGTAAAAAAATTTTATAAAATTCTTATATATAGCTTAAGGTCTCTGAGTTTCTATACAGTAACACAATGGGTCAAAAGGCCTAAATGGATCTTAGGATCGGTGGTATAAGCTAAGGTAACCTAAAGCTTAAGATACTTAGTGCTAAGTTTGGTGAGTGTTTTATAACACATTATTGTATATTAACTGAAAGACATTTGCAGTATGGTTTTCATTTATTCAATCTATTAAAGAAAATCTATAAGAATGTATTAGTTAATACAATTTTACATAACATGTTAAGGGTAAAAATATTGTTATCAATGACTGCAATACAAAAAAAATTAATTTGCAAAAAAGAATGAATATCAAAAAAGGTATATTATAAAACAAACACACTTTCATTGATCAAACTATTAATGCATGAGCAAACCACTCTTTAAAAAGGGAAAATACGTGTAACGAAGTTTGAACGATCCAATTTCTCACGGAAAATTGCATGCAATCAAAAGCTTTCAAAATGAATTTGTATGTAATAAAAAAAAAATAATAAAATAAAGTTCATTTCTCTATACCAAATAAAAAAAAGAAACATAACCAATAACGTTTAAAATATTGTACTTTTGAATGAAAAGGTTTAACTGTAGAGACATATTAGTTACTATTATTTTTATTAACTTTAAAGTTTAGGTTGAAAATATATTTTTCTATTTAATTTTTCTTATTAGCATCTTATTTTCACATATACGCACTCCTATATTTGTTGATCTACTTGTTGATCATGCTCTCTTCTCATTCTCATTCTCATTTTCTCTCAGTTTTCTGGTAAGAAAATTTACACACAAAAGGTTCGGCCACATAGGAAGAAATTCAAATTTTGTGTAATTCACAAAGCTCGACTCATTTTGCATTAACATCAGACGAATGAACTCAGTACGTGAAATGTTGGTAAACTAAGTACATCAGTAAACAATTCTTGTGTAAAGGTGATCTTGGTTTTTTTTTAAATGTGTTGCAATAATATTTCAAATCAACTTACATTCAATCAGAACATAATTGTTAATATCGATACTTTATAAATATTATATGTGAAGTTAAAAAGAATTGTATTGATTGCAGAATTCAAAAGTTTTGCAATAAAAGTGTTATACTACGCATACTTGTTATAATAACTACATACATAGATTTATGTAGTTTATGCGACCAATAAAAAAACATATATACTACTTTACTTGCATTTGTATGTGAATTTATTTACGTATACAAATAAATAAAGTTTTCAACAGGAAAGCAAATAAAATACGCGATCAATTTAATTTTTGTTTAATGCGACAGGTATGCTTTCTATTTTCTTGCATAAACACAATCTTAAAGTTAAATAATTAAAATGGTTTTTAATGCATTTTATAATATATGTAGAGTTGAATTAAAAAGTTCATAAAATTAATACAAGGTTTTTGATATTTGGATTAAAATGAAAATTAATTTAAGACAACATTTTCATTTGATTTAATAAATTTTCTTTTACTGATCTATACATCATATAGTAAACGTTTCATATTGTTGTTCATTAAAGATCATTGGATTATGTTCGTACAAATAAATGTTATTATAGTTTTATGTGAAAGAAACTCTTCAAGGTTAAATACAACATTAAACTCTTTGTGCTGATTTAAATGAATACAGAAAGAAACGAAGGGTATAAGTATTAATACACAATACGCAATTAAACTAAAAGTATAAAAGAAAGGTTAAATATGACCTTCAGAAGTGAAACGAGCGTTGTCTCTACTCGCATGCTAATTTTAATTTAATTTATTGTGTGTGCACCAATAAATTTAATAAGTGTGAAAATATAATGAAGTTTCTTCTTTTCAAAACATTCTCGAGAAAATGTGTAAAAAGCATCTATAGTTTTTGACCATTAATTTTAAATGTGTTAAATATAAATCATGTTTTTTTATACATCTATACTTTGATACATACTTACATATTTATATATACATATATATATAAAATAAGTGAGTGAGTTAAGCAATCGTCTGGTTGCAATAGCATATTTTTTACATTTGTATGTAAAAATATTCACTAAACTATATATCTATATATATATATTTATGTGTGTATGTGTATTTATGCATGGAGACATAGTCAGTCTTGTGTCATTTTGAAGCTTTTCGCATGAAGTTGATGTATAAAGCCAAGCATTTTGCTATACAAACACATACAAACAGAATTGCAACTTCTCCTTACTCACATCATTTTTAGGTCAATTTATTTGAAAGTGTGTGAGTGACTTAGAGTAAAAGAGCTTTTTTGTGAAAGGGATATATGTATGTACAATTGTATTATGAATTACATGCAGTATAGATACGAAGTCTATATTGCACATTACGAAATCTACCTTGGTAAATTTTTATATATTTGAGCAAACATGTTTTAGCATAAGCATGTGTTCCTACATATGTATGTATATGAATGTGTTTTTAACTTTTACTAAACAGTGCCCAAGATATTCTGTGCTATAAGCAAAGCTTTACGTTGCTTTACGTTGTTGTTTTGCGTTAAATGTTATATGTTGCAACGTTTAAATATGAAATTTGTAAATTTAGTAGGCTTTAATAAATTTATTGGTTAAACAAAAGAAAAAGCTTTTTGTGAAAGGGAAATATATTCACATGGCTTGTGTTTTGTACATGCTGTTATGATGCTATACTTCAAAGGAAGCTTATGTAGTTACTTGAATTTTGATATTTAAAATTTTAAAATGGGTATACAGAAAAGAAATGACTACGTTTGTATGTATATATACATATATATATATTTATTTATAAATGTATACTTTTTAACTTGATTTGTCTGAGTTGTCCACTATAAGTAAAAGTATTTATGTTTGCGGATATGTATTATGTACATATTTGAAAATAAATTTTTATATTTATTAAAATTTATTTCTTCTAATGGTATTTAATGAATGTAATAACTTTTTATATTTCTTTTGATTTATGAGATTAATAATGAATTATAATATTCAACAAAATTTTGAAAACATGTATGTTTCTTAAATGACAATATTTGATGGTTATCTATCTATCTATCTATCTGTCTATCTTTTAAAGTTCAATACAAGCGACTACGGTTTAACGCCAAGAGTATCAAGTAAAAATTTATGTAAATGTATTGCAAACGTACATTTACTTCCACCCGCTCTATTCGCTTTCCCTTTCGCGGAACATTCGCTTGCTTAAACTTGTATTTTGCCAGCTTAAGATCGAATGAATAAGTTAAGCAATTAAGCTCAATAAAAATTTATACTATTTTTTGAAAGTTTCGAGCAATCATTAAGAATTATAATTATTTTTACTAGAAAATTTTAAATAAGAATTTTAATGTAGAAACGTTAGAAAATGTTTAAAAAAAATATTAATATATTTAAAAATAATTATTTATATATAATATATATATAATCAATATATATTAATATGATTTATGTATATTAATATAATGTATATACAATTAATATTTATAGTCCATATGTAACTAATAAAAAATATAATATATTATATACTCGTTCAGCTATATCTTTTCTTTCCGAATTCTTCTGAATTTGGCACATATAACTTTCAATTTTTTAAACCCAATCAGACTTGTGATTGTACAGATATTGTTGTTGTTGTGGTTCATGAAAAATTGAAGCACTTAAAAAGAAAACAACACGCCCATTAAAGGTTAGAAAAGGAACGGGTCCAGATGAATTGGTTCTACCACCTCAATAAAGCAGCATAAGTAAATAGCATGTAAATTATTGTTTATACTGGGACATTACACATTTGCGATTACGGCATAATTGTCAAGCGATATATTTATCCTTAATATATGTATTACATTAAAAGGACCGATATCCAGATCTCAGTTCGTCCAGTTTATTCTCTTGTTGGTATACTAGAATAAATATATTTTAACCAAATGTTGACTAAATCCATGAGAGATGTTTTTATCTGTGATACATATCATTCTCGAATGTGGCTATATGCAGATATCAGTTCTTCCAGTTTATCTCCTTCCTTCTGGTATAATAAAATAACTATACTTTATCGAAGTGGTGATTAAATCCATGAGAGACGAATTTATTCCTAATACAATACATTTCTAGATGTGCCTATATTTCATCCGCTTTGTCACCTTCCTTCTGGTATACTAAAAATACATAAATTTAAATAAAGTGGTGGTTAAATCCAAGAGTAATGTATTTATCCGTGATACATAACAATTTCGGATGTGCCCATCTCCAGATCTCAGTTCGTATAACTACTATAATATTTACTATACATCTGATTTTTTTAAGTTCTAGGTTTCACATTAGAACAATAACATTTGTCGGATTTGTGTTTTCTACAGTCGAAACTTCAGGCTAAGATTAAGAGGACATATTTAAAAATATGCAGACTACTACGAAAACACGGAATTCTAAGATTTATTTCTTTCCTTAAAGTGAATTAAGTTGATAATCATACAGCATATATGACTCAAAAGGTCCGCGGAAAATACGCGGGTTTGTCATTGATAGAGCATATATATCTCAGATGCTTAAAAAGATCAATATTTTGCAGTTCAAAATTTCACACCGCTTCTTTCTCAAATTTTTAGTGCGACAGAAAATTTTATCTATTGTGAACTTATTTGCGTTAAACCCCACCTTAATAGTACCCGATTATTGTATCAGAATAGCATATTAGTTTTTACTCTCTTGTGGACGTTAAAATCTTGTAACATACATGTATAAAATAGTGCATTAAAGTTTACTTCATTTTTTGTGAATTTAAATGATGAACTGGTATTTAGTTGGTATTCTTGCCAAATAACAATAATATCGTTTATTCAATTATCTAGAATATATTATTTAAATTCGAAACAGTCAAAATAATTCCGGTAGTGTTACTTTCAAATACGAGAAATTTTTAATTTATGGTTAGAAATTTTGTAGTTGCTTTAATAAAGCCGACATACTCGTATTTGAGATATAGTAATGCCAGTTCTACTCCTTTAATATATCAATCTTTTATTTAGATCAGTTGGAATAGATCGGTTGGACCGATCCTAAAACTAGGATCGGTTGAAAAATAGGAAAAATCTACCACTATCACAACTGTTTCAACATTAGCTTCCCTCATTAAAGCCTTTTATTAAAGGTATCTCATTAAAGTTATCCACACTTATGTTTAAGAAAATATTTATATTTATTTATTTATTTCTCATATTGTTTAATGTGTTCTGGCTTATCATTATTTTTTTTCGACTATGGGTTTTCCACTTGAAGGAAAATTATCTTACTTCAAGACATAACATTTGTAGATTGCGACTCAGGTTGAAATGTTAACGATTTTATAATTATCATTAATTGAGAAGTTTTCCGTTAAGTTTGACAAGCTTCACAACTGTTCTAACCATAATTTTTCGCTTTAAGGATCTCAGGCATTCATTTTGTGACGGATAGTCAAAATACAACAATTTCGTTTTTTAAGATATGTATGAGTTAAATACGTGATTTCTGGAAAACCTACAGTACCTTTCAGACATGCGACTAATTATGACACTGTTTAAGAATCATCAATCATATGATTTCATAAAAATCATAGTTATATATATATCTAATATATACAAATTTAATATACACTTTTCTCACATATATTTATATAAGCAATTTATTTATATACACAATAAAAAAAAAACTTTTTATTTATTATTATTATTTTACTCAATATGTTTGGTGAGCAAGCAAAATTTACGAAACATCGTCATAAATTTTAGAAATCGCATTTGATTTTAATATTCTCCATAAAAAAAAGTAATCTATACAGCTATATCGGAATAACAACAAAAATGTTAAAAAAGTAATTCAGTCCAAATAGGTTTTTAAATTTCTTACTTCTGTAAATTACTATATTTAAAAGACTAAATTTAATAACAGTACCACCTACAGGAGCATCCGACCATTTTAACTGATATTGTTTTCTAATTGTCAGCAAATGAATCCATTATCTATCTTTGGTTTTTATTGAAAAGTATGATATCTGGAATCTTGAATCAATGAATAATGATCAAACTTATCAATATAATTTAATTATTTCACGTATGCTTAAGAAGCATGACAAACTGATAGTCCAATAAACAGAATGGTGTTGGATGTCCGAAACATAAGTAAACTAATTTATCTGTTTGCGCTAAACTAACTAAAAACCTGTAGATCTGGAGAAATATTGAATAAAAAAACCAAGCCAGATTTATTCTTTGAGGAAGACCTATTATTCTGTAATAGTTCATTAAATGAACTATGTGTAAAAGTCAGAAATTTGTCAATTTTACTTTAATAAGCATACCATAACATATTAACATTACATATAATAAATTACATTTTAAAGTATAAGAATTAAAACAAAATATAACATATTTTCTTGTTTTTTAAGTGTAACGTGATATACTTTTGTTTAATTTCATGCTAAATATTTCTATCATTGGGCTTTACTTCTCGAAACACTAATATATTGATTCAATTCTGTTCAGGAATAATTTAACGCTGTAGTAACTCTTTTTAAATTGAACAAATTTTAGCGATCATATTGAGATACCACATAATGATATAAGTGTTGTTTAGTTTTACTTTCAATACTTTTACTTTTTAATAATTTTTAGAAAAGGTAAAACAGATATGAACTGTTTTCCCATTGTCCGTATATGCGCAAAACAACAGGGTCTCTTTTCTTACTGTTCTGACAAAGCTGTCATAATTTATAATTAGATTCATAGCCAACGTTCCGTTTTATTTAAATTGGGGAGTCACGCCTTTTCATAGGGACACTATTTATGTGTTACATACTTCTAACTTCTAGCTAGCTTACAAACAGTTTCTCATCCATATTATTACAACGAGCCATTATTTATGCCTAGAGTAAGCTTTGATGCATTAAAGTTAAATTTAAATTTAACTAACAGTAAGGAACTGGACTGCTAAATCCTTCGCCCTTGTTGCACTATTATTGTTTCGGCATATCATAATTATATTGCAATTCATATTCAAAGATGACCTTTCTTTAAAATAATAATTAAAATTGTTGAATACAATATTTATTTGCACCAACATGTACCATATTGTATGATCTAAACAAATCCAAACAATGTATAAAATGTTTTCTGTTTTTTACTATATAATATCATTACGCAAAATGTATGAATTTAATTTAATATTAGACGTAAACTTTTATTAAACAAAGTAGATTTATTAAACATAGTCATTAAACTCAAGGAATTTTGCCAGTTTGCTTTTGTAGATATTGAAATAGTTTTTAACAATAGACTTTCAAGTGCAATATAGAGCGCAATTTCGCGTCTAGGTGTTGATAATGCGCTCATTAGCTTTATTAGTCAGCTGCTATAGTTGCCTGTCTTTGCGAAATACTAATGCACGCTCTCCTTTCCTCTGGAACTTAGCGGTGAACGAACTATTGCTAACACTGAGATCAGGGGATTACAAAACTTTTACTTACGTGGATGATATTACGTTAATAGTTTCCGGAAAAAATGCCATCAATCTATGGAATATTTTGCAAAATGGTCTTAATATTCTAAGTAAATAGACACAAAAATATGCCGTTGGGGTTTACCGCGACAAATCCGAAATCGTAGTTTTCACCAAAAAAACATACTGTCCCCAAGATTTCTCCACCCTCTCTAGTTTTCATCAAAAAACATACGGTTTCTAATTGTATTTGAAAATAATTGATATCAATTTCTAATGTGAATCTGTTTTTAGAGTGTAATTAAACAGTTATATGTAAAATTATTAAAGAGTTAAAATTATATATAGGTTAGGTTTCAATTTCTATCTATTGAAATGTAGCGCATTTAAACCTACAATGCATTGTGATAATTAACATACATACCTGTACTCACACCTATGATTTTTGTTTAATTCAAGGTTTGCAATTAAATTTAATATACTTTTTTTTTAATCTTATAGTTACCAAGAATGTTAATGTTGCAATATAGTAAGCATGGAGAGTGCATACTCAAAGAAATTGGTGCAGCATTTAGAGGCGAACATCCTGCCGACCTGACCATCGTTTGTGAGAACAAAGTGAAACTGCATGCGCATAAATTAGTTCTTGCAGCAGCAAGTCCATTGATAAGGTAATCAACATTTACATATATATAGACATATATCAGACACACTGAAAATTCCTTAACTAAAACTAAAAAGATAATATAATAGAATTTATTCAAAGTATACTTTTGTTTTGCTTTAAAAGTGTTTTTGCTCGACTATTTAGTTTAATTGTTCTACCTAATTCAAATTTTTTTTCTGTAATTTTATAATAAAAATTTTTTAGATTAGATTCTTTAAGGTTAATTTTAATGCTACGTATAGATCAATTTATTTTAAGCGATAATATTACAATAGGTATTTTTTCAAAGAAGGAAATGTAACATCGAAACAATAATAATCAGTAAAATCGATTCTTGAACAGATTAATTGCAGCGAACTAATGTAAACAGTGAACACATTATAGTTTTTTAGTGTAGTAACTAAGCGTTAGCGTTAGTGCAACGAACAGCAGCATTGAGGATACCTTTAATGTATCATGCTGTGTCTGAAGCAGGAGTTGCTGGTGATTAGTGACAATGTACGTATTGATCTCCAGACTCAAAAGCGAATAGCCAGGCAGTCGGGGTATAGCAGTATAGCACCAGTATAGCAGAAACGTTGGAACTCTGATAACTGTGGACGATGGATAGACTCAAGGCTCATCCTAGAGCTGAAAAACTGGCTAGCAAGCATCTTGGGGAGGTCAACTACTATCTTACTCAGTTCTGTCTGGACACGGATATTTCAACAACTACAAGTTTACAAATTCAAGTACTTGTTGGGTACCCAAAAAAGAAGTGCTAGCCACGAAAGTTAGTGTTTTTTCTCCAAGGTCGGTGGAAGAAAAAATTATGTCTTTTGCTCTTACCATATACTATGATTGTTTCGATATTACATTTCCTGTTGGCTGTTCTTAAAAGTTGTGCTAATGTGTGCTCTAATAAACTGTAAAAAGCAATATATTTTTAAAATGCATTTCTAAGGTTAACTTTGAAATACTTAGAATATAATAGAAATTAGTAAGAATACAGACTCACAATAAAGCAGAATACTGCGGCATTCCACTTGTACTTCAGTGGTACCAGCTAAAAAGAAACGATTAGCCTTTTGATTGATGGCCAGAATGCATTTCATAGAGTTGTTCCTAATTAAGACGAAGACAAGAACTACCGATATAATACCAAATTCTTGATTCAGAGCAAAGCCGTGCAATCACAAAGAATGTTACCAATATTCTCATGGACTTCCAAAAGGACACGTTATCCGGTCACATTCTATGAGGTTAAACAACCACAGCTCTCTTCTGCTGAGGAAGGGAGCGCACAACTCTTTCTAAGGGAGTGCACACATCAATTTATCCGTATCCTACCGGTTATTTAAGTTCGAAATAGTTGAAATGAGTAATTACAAATAATACTTATTTGAAATATTTTATAATCGGATTTTTAATTCAATTTTAAAAATTAATTAATTAAATTAATTATTATTGTAATTATATTATTGTTAATTATTATTAACAATATTATTATTATTAACAGTAATTATTATTATTGTTAATATTATTATTAGATTAATAATACTTAAAATAAAAAGTATTGGTGGTTTAATAGGCTAGAGATCTAATGTAATACAATTAAGCAACATATTTACGCGTTAACTCTACAATTAGACCTAGTCAATCATCTGATTTCATTAGTTTTATTAAGCTAACTGTGTTCATTATAATATTATTTATTACAACTTATTATTATAAATAATTGGCGCTGTTATTCATCTTTTTAACAAGATGAGTTCAATTAATATATGATATAATACTATATTATTAAGTCTGTACTTTATAATTCCTATAAAATTTAAGTGCTTTTACAGTTATAGATACATCTGTAAACAGACTATTAATTTTTTTTTTATATACTATATTTTGTTATATAGAATTAATCGTTTTTTATTTTGACTAATTCCAGAATGTTATTGGAAGATACGCAATTACCCGATTGCACAACAACAGTATACTTTCCTGATGTTAATGCAACATATTTTAAGTTTCTCTTAGATTTCTTGTATTCCGGACAAACTTGCATTACATCCCGCGATGTAAATTATTTACACGATTTACTTTTGTTACTCCAAATAAAGTCCGATAATTGGAAAACAACGGATTCTACAATTATTAATAATAAATGCAATAACTTACGTGAACGTTTTGGCTCCGATACTGTAAAAAGTGGACAGACCAGTAACAGTTCGAGTTTAGAACATTCCTTGAAAGCTGAAAATGATAATAGCAATGATGCAAAACAATCTTCCGAAGGTTTTGGAAATTTAGATGAACAACAGGATAACAATGAGTACTTAGAAAAAGACCAAGATAGCAAAGATTTACGCAATGATATATTGATGTTTAAGCATGAAAATTTAACAGATTTCCAAGCAAATGGAATACGAAATGGATCTGCACCTCTTAATCCTGTAAATTTATCTTTAGATTTAAGAACAAAACATGAAAATGATGATTCCGATACAAAATGTTCAGAAAAGCAAACCAGAAATTCAGATATATATTCGCTGCATGGTAGTGATAGTATAAAGCGAAAAACTTTTTATTTCGAATCAAATAAAGAAGTATTACAAGGTCTGGCCGATCATTCGGAACTAAATAATTCACCTGATAATTATGTTGTAACTCCGCATAGAAAACGACGACCTGGTTTTCATAATTCTCCAAATCATAATCAACCGTTTGCTTCATGTCAACCTAATTTGTTAGATGATCTGCGCTCATCCAAATCTTCGTCTTATGTATCAGAAAAAAATTTATCATCTTACGAGGATGATATACAAAATCCTGTCGAACTTTTAGCCAATCGTAAAATCCTGCAAAACCATATACCGAGACCACAGAGCCCTGAAACATCATTACATATAACACCGGAATTCGTATATCAATGGCAATCAAAACAAAATTCATCTATGTCGACATTATCTGGCTTACAAACAGGATTAACAAGTATATCACACATAAACCTAAATTTAGATTCATTGAATCGTGATAATCCGGGACCAGGAAAAGATATATCAACGAACAATGCTAATATGTGTAATATGCATAATACAGTTCGAGAATATCGTTGCGAATATTGCGGAAAACAATTTGGCATGTCATGGAACTTAAAAACTCATCTGAGAGTTCATACAGGTGAGAAGCCTTTTGCATGCCGCCTCTGTGTAGCGATGTTCAAACAGAAAGCTCATCTTCTAAAACATCTCTGTTCCGTGCATAGGAATGTAATAACCACAACAAATGGTTCAGAATCAACAAGCAGATATAGTTGCTGTTTTTGTTCCATGTCCTTTAAAAGTGTTCAAGAATTAGTGCGACATTTATCTGGTCACCATAACAATTTGCTTCTTACTAAGAATCTGCGTGAATAATATTTCCAATATATTAAATACAAACAAATTAATAGTATATACTTGTGTATATAAGTATCAGTAAAGTTTTTAACAACTGTTGCTGTATGTAAATTAAAAACACAAATAAAAATGAAAAAAAGGAAAAGTAAAGGAACTCAAATAAAAGCAGTGAACCTGAAATTCTACTTATGCTGAATAATATATACATACAACATACAAAGTGACCTGAATGTTTTATTATATAAATTTTTTAGTAATATATCACTTTTTATATTTCAATAATTTTATTAATAAATTGTAATTAGTTTATTTTATATATATGTAAAAAAACATATCTTCCAATATTTTTTAAAATTAATATGTATTGTGTTAATAGACACTGAAGAGGTTTGTTTATAAACACAGAAGAAAAAATAAAAATAATTTCATTCGTAAGCTAAATATAATACATATTCATATATTATTTTTTATTTACATTAGTTAATCAACTTTAATAAATAATATTTAAGTCACACAGAGTTATAATGAAAACAACGGTTAGCCTAGCTCACCTCTCTCTGGCAACTATAGGGGCATTCGCTCTTCGATAGGAGATATCTATTGCCATACATATTCAGCCATATACCTTCTAATTCTTGTGTGTCATAACATGTAAGAGCGTCAAAAAGTTAAGTAAAAACGGCATAGTTACATCAATGCAATACAGAAACTTCTCAAATTAATTTACTCAAGTAATTAAGCCAGATATTTAAAAATGTCCTTATTTACAAAATGGTCTTGCGGATATTTTTGTTTTGATGAAATACAGTTCAAAAAAAAGTGTTCTAGTATTAAGTAAATTTAAGCATATGATTTTTATCAATTACAAAGTGAACTGGTAGAAACTGCCTATTTGTATTTGTAGTAATTACTTGGAAAAGAAATAAACAAACAGCCAAAGTGCCAGCTAAACGCAAAAATTTAAAAAACTACAAAAAAAAAGAGTTGGAAGTTTTGAAAAAACCGTGCAAACAATTTTAAAAGATATAAGGAGTACCTTTAATAAGGGTATTCACACTGTCTTGCAAACTTATTGCAAGGTGCACAAAATGCAAAGATTGCGCGAGCCTGCAATGGACAACAACAAAATACAAGCACAGTTTCTTACAATTTTGCTTTACCTAAACCCATGTATAATACGCTGGCAACAAAACAAAAAAGGAAAAAAATAAAACATTAATTAATTATTAACATTAATGATTAACATTAAGTTAATCTATGAAAACACTAACTAATTCATCTACATACTAAAGCTAAAGTTGGTACACATTTCGTATAGGAGAGATTATAATATCTATGTAGAAAATTTAGAAAAATCCGACTGCTGCACATGCATATCATGTTAAAGTAAAATATACTCCATACTAGACTATAATACATATGTAAGTCAGACATATATATTATATATATAGATTATAAATATAATATATATTTATATAAGTCAGTCATATATATTATAGTTTAGTATTCTAACTTACCTATGTATGTATATACAAATGTTAAGATAAAAAATTTGTTTTGTTTTCTGTTTTTAATATAAAGCATTTCCAGATGTTATTCCACACATATGTAGTAGCAAAAAAAAACATATAAGCTTAGAGAGTAATATTATTGGATACAATTCAATAAAAAATTGATCGAATTATGTAAAATATTTAAAAACTTCATAACGAACAATATCTTTGAAAATATTTCTTCTCCAAAGAATGCAAATAAAAAAAAATTAATGATGTTTGCCACCCTAATAAATCTTAATTATTTTTAAATTTTTTCTCATAATGTTTATGCAGTATAAGACTAATTAAACTACCTCTCGTCTATGAAAATTTTAGTACTAAAATTTAGTTAATTTCATTTTTTTATAGGAAAAATGTTTTTAATACTTAAAGTGGCGTTTTTAGGTTTGACATACTATAAATCTAACTTAAATGCATTTTTTTTACCCTTTAGGAAATTTTGTCAGTAGTGCATAATTTACAATGTGTGTTTCAAAAATAATATGCAATTTTTAATTGCAAATTAATTTTGCTAATAATTTTTATGGAAATTCTCAAGCCTAAACTTAAGCGTTTCAATGCTGCCGATGTTAATACATTGTTACGTACATATATTACTCTTTTTGGATGTAAAGTGTAAACAAGAGAACAAGAAGTAAAAATGAAATAAAAGGCTATGTAAAAAAAAACAAGTTTTCAACAATAACAATTTTGTCTTGTTTATTATAGAAATGTGTATATTTGAAATTCATTGAAGTTTATATTATGAAATAATAATTTATATATTATAAGTTAATTATTGGAAATTGAAATTTTGTTAACTAATTATTCCTCCGCAATATCACTATTTGTGTGAAAGGTATCATCAACAAGAAAGTAAGTAAGTACTTATTAAAAAACATTTGCAAATATCTGATATAATTAGTTCAAAAAATAATGTTGAGGATTTTACATAAAAATAATTATTCTTATTAAAATTCTGAAAAAAAAAAATTAAATTACAGTTTTCATAAATCATCTATACACCTCGGAAATTGTAACAATGTTCTAAAACATAAAAAAACTTAGTAATTAAAATTACTAAGAGTTAATCTGCTACAAAAATAACATATGTTATGTTCTTAACTTTAACAAAATATTTTTGAATGTATATATTATTTAAATTTGTTGCAGAGAATTATAAGTAATCTCTTAATAACTTTTTTTATACATCAAAAATTTCGTATCCTAATCTTTATCATTAAACCTCTATTTTAGACTTTTGGTTGAGTTATGTAATTCATATCTATATGATACAATAACTTTGATAACGAACAGTACTCATAAATACTAAATTAATAACTTCAGAAGTTATCAGCTCACCATAGTATTCAAGCTATCTACTTGAATTATGCAGCAAAACCCAAACATTCTCAATGATAATTATGTCGCGTGAGTTTGAAGTTATTAATTCCATATTTTTATAAACCTTGATATAAAAATTAGGACAAATCGGAACATAAGATTTCAGTAGTGATTATTCTTAATGTAAAAAACGGCTTGTTCCATAAGACATTATCTCAAAACCACAGTTGTGAAGACAAATTAAATTATGTAGCTATTTTCGATAATCATCAAAATAATAATTATATCCGTTCATTAGTTTTAAATAAAATTCAAAAAAAAAAACGACCCGTTTACATATGATTTCCATTTACTTTCTAATTAAAAAAAACTTAAGTCCTTTTTTTCAAATAGCATAAAGTAGGTTTTTTTCTCATTTTTAATTTTAAATGTGAGTTTAAATGTGAGGAACCAAGATTAATTCGGGTTTCAATAACTAGCCTAATATTAAAATACATATTCTTCTACTTACTTTTAAAGTAGACTCTTGACAATACCAGAATTACCACTCTGGTAATAGTTGACCTATTGTCTACTGACTTTTTTTGTATATACTTTTTTACACTCCCTTTTCAACTGTTTCTTTAAGATACTTACCTGTATCTATAATTTTTTTATCCGTTATAAATATATTGTGCTTTATAAACCTATTCAAATAAGCACAGGGCATACTAATATATAATTTAAAGTAATATTTACAGCTTTTCAATTTTTGACATTTACTTTGAATTTAAGAATTTAAATTTAAAGACAGATAAGCTCTTACCTTACATTATCAGTTGATATGCTTAGCTCAAAACGTGATTTATACATGGAAATTATATCAATAAAGTTGCATATGGGGCTGTTGGAATCTAAGTTAAATGGTTTTTTTTTTGTTGTTTTATATATATAATTATTTTGTATTACAATTTTGTCTAATAAAATAATCTATATGATTATACTATTTTAAGCTAGAGATTTAAGAAACTTAGATTAAATTTTTTCTATAGTGACTTCATTTACGTGTATATAGTATCAAAAATATCTGCTTTTATTTCATTTAAGTAAAATTTTTATATATTTATTTGGCGAGGAACATTAAAAAAAAAAGAAAAATCAGATGATCTAGAATCTAGATGTATTTTTATTGCTACCGACTTATGTTTCACTGCAGATTGTACTTAGAAGTACTCATATCTACTTTCTTCAGTTTGCTAATAACCAATGGAGAAAACTTAGATCATGTGTAACTTTCCGGTTAACATGGTCCTCTCATTACAATACAATAAAAAACTCTTGGAAACTCATTATAAATTAAAAAAATTAGTATTCACTCATTCCTCGCGTGAATACTGTTAGACTTACTACACTTCTCTAGCCGCTGATGTATAGCAATCCACTCAGAAAAACTGTACATTTCTTGGTTCTTATTGCAATTGTGGAATCTTTAAGGAAAAAGAAACTATTAAACATTTTCTTTACGAATGCCCGGCTCTGAACAGTCTGATAATACTTTTTTTCAACTTGTCAGAATGTTTATTGATAAGAACGAAAGACCGATTTCAGTGGAAAGTTATCTGCTGATCAGCTACGTTATTAATTAATGTTAAAAGTCTAGACAAAATTACAGTGTAGGTTGAGTAGAGTATACCTCCGTGTACATCCAATTAACCTGAACAACAAATTTCGAATTGAAAAACCACATTAAATATTTCATAAGTAACTACAAAAAGCAATTATTTATCTTATTTTATTTCACATTGTTAGTTTCTTCGTAGAATACTTATACGAACGTACTAATATTGAATCGTGCATAAATTTAAATTTAAACAGCATAAAGAAATTGGATAATGTGAGCAGAACTGTGCAATAATAAGTTTACGCTACCCAGACTACACTGTATTCCTTTATCTACAGCCCACTATATTGTCTAGATATTTAGAATAGGTATTTCTAAATTTATATTAATTCTTACATATCACGGTTGATATGTATATTTTTGATTGTTACCCGAAAAATGGGATTAAAGATAATAAATCTGACTGATATAATTATTAATATATATGACAAACTTTGATGCGAACAGAAATGGCATAACCTAAAAAATTAAAGTAATATGGATCAAAAAAAAAAATTGTATATTGGCTTAAATTATTTGAATGAATCATTTTATGATATTATAATATTTTATGATAAAGATTTCCTTATTATAGAATTTTGTTAAGACACTGTATTTCGAATAACATTGAAAATTATATGCCTTTTTTTAAGGAAGAACCTCATATAACATTAAACAACATTCCTAATGATATAGAATACAAAAATATGAAAAAATAAATTAAATTTAGT